GATCACAGGAATGGGGCGAGTGTTCAGTGAGAATGTGAGCTTAGCGCCATCACCGGCCTACAGCGAGCCCTCCATGAACATCAGCTATAGTCATCATCTCATTCAAGCTACCAGCAGACATCAAATGTCTTTTATTATTTCTCAGATGTATATTTTAACCCTTTTAAAGGGTATGTTTCCTACATGGTCTTGCACACAGCAGCTTGTGGAACGGAAATACACTTTCTCTGGTGCCATTACCAGCTGAGGTTTGCCTCAGTAAAGGGAAAAAAAATACTCTGGACAGATGGAGGTCAAATTGGTCTTAGCATGCTTCCACTCCCAGACCTCGAGGCGGAAGCCATTCGGATGAAAACACTGTTGTACACCAAGTTCGCTCAGCTTGAAGTTACCCTCTTCCACAGGCAAGACAGCAAGTGCTCCCTCTGAAACCCGTCAGGCTGTGCACTCCTTTAACGAGCATGTGACCTAAGTTTTGACAAGATGTTCGCTGATATTTTGCCAGCTTCTGGTATTTTAAGAAATACGACTGGAGCCTGGCGTGGAACCACGTGTGGAATCCCAGCACGCAGGAGGCTGAGGCAAGAGGACCAAGGCCAGCGTGAACTACAGTGAGATCCTGCCTCAGAAAGAAGGGTATGGCTTGATGATGAAGAACGGCTTGATGATGAAGAACGTAGATGGCCTGCATTTGTGGGCCTCTTCGCATGCTCTAGCCTGTTCCCTACTAGAACTAGTTAATACTTTGTTTTACCCACCACAAAACCCCGTAAGGGCTAGAAGAAACAGGAAGCGCTAGACACTAATGGAGAGACTGGGGAGAGCGGCGGGTAAGGAGACTCGGGAGAGCCCTCCGCACTGGCTTTGCGGGCTTAGGTCCTGTTTTCTAAGGTTTTGGTGTCATTTTCCTAGTAAGAGGTTCTCCACAGTAACCTGACTAGTCAGTGTAAAGCATGACGTGTACAAGAAAATGCTGAGCATGCGTGGGCCCTGTGGGAGGGTGAGATTTCTCAGAGAGATCCCGGTTGGTCCAAGATGGGAGGCGTGTGGGAAGTGTTCTGCCTAGGGGAAGCCAAGGGACGGACAACAGACGACAGCCAGGGAAGGGCCAAGCCGGAGGGAGCCAGGAAGGCTCAGTGAAGGATGACAGCCAAGGCCAGGTCACTGGGCGCCCCACAGGTGCAGGGCTCACGTACGTATTGGTTAGAGTTTCTTGCCCAGCAACAAGGTATTCGTACCCCTCTCTAAAGACCTGCTCCATCCTGAGTTCCTAGAGATTTTCTAAATCCACCTTTCCTGCTTGTAACCCAATAGGTTAATCTCAAGTTGGCTGAATCACAGTCATTTTGTGTATTAAGAATCCCTAGACAGAGTCCTTTGGTAACCCCTTGTTGGGCCCCCTCCCAGGTTCACTTGCGGGGGAGCTGTTTGCTTTCACTTTACAAGAAATGAGGTTTCTGCTTTTGCTCTGCAGTAAATGTTTACTTATCTCTCTGCCTTACATTCCTTTCTGGGCTGAGAACCCACGTGTCATTTACTCTGTGATCTCAGGGAAATCACTTTCACCTACCATCCTACCCATTTCTCCCTCTGTAAAATGAAGGAGCTAGGTTGGACTGGAGGTGAGTACTGAGAAAACACACCCATTACCTGTGTAACCTGAATGCACCACTGTCTTCTACTCATCAGGGGAAGTGTGTCCATGGGATCCGCACGATGTCCCTGGGGCAGCACCCTCCCTGGCCTGTTCACTGTGTAATATGCCACAAACTGCATGTAATCAGCCATGAGGACTGATTGGATGTATCCTTTGGCCACAAAACTCCACCCATGAGCAGGCACCCACCAGTCTGGACCACTCGTCTCCTATATAAACCATGGCTATCAGCTTCTGAGGAAGATGTCTCTTCAGATGAGGTCCCGATCAGCCACCTTCTGACCAGCTCACTATGGTAATGAAGTTCTTTCTCTGCCACTGCCTTGCCTCTTGACTGATGTCTTTGTTGTGTGGCCAGCACAGCGAGCCTTTTGTGAGGTAACAGGATGACCAATTGTACTTTTCACTCCTGACACTCATCATTTAAACAAATTTCAGCATACTGATAAATTGGCCCCAATCTCTCAAACCCCAGGACTTTGTGATTTCTAATATAAACACCTTACAGGCTGGTATTTGTTTAATCATGTAAGAACAGATACCCTACACATCTCCGTTAATAACCTATTGCCTTATGAAGTAGGGATAAAAGTTTTTTAAAAAAAATCTATGAGGACCATAATTTATCCAAGATAGTTTGATTTGAATGGTGTTTGAGTACCTCCAACCCTATTAGACCCTGGATGACATTTAAATATAAGGTAATAGTTGAGAAGAAAATCAGGAATTACAAAATATTTGTTACTGCAAGCAATTTTAATACAAAAGTGTGTCTTGTTTTAAACAGTTCATTGGTAGAGCTTCAGTTTCTGCCTCAATTAAAACCAATTGAGATAATCACACAGCAACATGGTCGGAGCTGAAGAGGAACAGCAGCTAAAAAACAGGAGCCCCAGACAGCTCCTCTGTGGTCAATTGGTCAGTTGACTTTATTACGCACAAAAAAGACGGAAGCGAACAGGACTGGTGAACAAGTGTGCTGGTGAGCTCCATTAAAGGATGAGCAAGTATTTGTCTCAGGTCCACATTTTCAGAATAGGCTCGTGGAATTCATTCCTCAGTTTGTGGGAAGCTGATCGACCATTTAAATAAATAGCAGGTAAAAAGTGCAGATAAACAAATCTGTAATCCACAGTGCCACCAAGGAGTCTCCCTCACCAAGGGTCTGGGGCCTGGTGAGCACAGGGACTACTGGTGGGGAGGCTGGATAGTTACAAATCGGTTTAAAAGCCCAATGTTCTGACATTTTCTAAACAGTTACATTTACCCCTGAATTCTAGTAGCTACGTGTCCGTCCACCCAGCGCTGGACAGTATTCCAAGTCAGTATTGCAGTCAACGCCTTTGCTGAACTGTGTGCAAATGCTGCCTAGATGAGGGTCCCGCTCTTCGGCTAAAATCACACAACACTGAAACAATGGAAACACAGTTATGAGTGCCCTCCCCTCCGTTCTTGCTAACTGAGGCGTCTGTGATTATAAAAAGAGTTCCTTAAACACTGCAGGATTCTTATTTTTTTTTTAATATAATTTATCTTGCTGAGTCAGCAAGGCAAGTTTATAAAGATGCATTTAGGAATAATCCTAAAAGATAAAGCAGGTGTACAAGCCTGCACCACGCAGAAACCCTACTTAGAGGCTTTTCTTTCTTTCTTTCTTTCTTTTTTTTTAATACATATTTGTGTCTTGACCTTTTCATTTGTTTTTCTCAAATATTTCATTTCTGGGCCCCATCCATCACAGGGTTACCAGGAGGCGAATTTTATCTACATAAATATTCACATGAAAATAGTAACTTACAAAAAGAAAAAAAAAAATAAGGCAGCTTCATAACACAATTATTCTTTTACACTTTTAACAATATAACTTCTCCCATTCAGAATAAATATACATCCAATGTATGGAGTGGGATTCAAAGTGGATAGTGGCGTGGGGGCTTAGACAGTGTTACCGCTTGGGACCTGGAGTCCTGGGGGAGGCAGTGGTGGTCTTCTTGGACATGGTTGGGATTTTGGAAGGTTTGGTCAGCCCTCTCCTGGAGCTACCCTGGCCCCCCGCAGCGCTGCTTTCTGAAGTGTCTGAACAAGCTGACTGCGTCTCTAAAAGGTCAAAGTCAGAGGCATCGCTTCCTCGCCGGCTGCTGGCGCGACTCCCAGCTCGACTTCCAGCCCGGCTTCCAGGGCGACTGGCTGACTTTTTAGGGTCTGGAATTCAAGAAAGCAGCAGACAATGTAACACAATACAAGAGAGAAGACACGGGTGTCAGCACAAGTGACCAGAACTCAGGATGCTGACCCTAATACCACCTGATCTGCTATGTGGCCTTGGGCAAATCCTTGCTTTTTTGAACCTTGGTTTCCTCATCCACTCTCCAGTCACTGAGCCTCTCCCAGCTGTGAGTCTGCTTGGGAAGCTTGCTTCCTCAGAGGGGAGAGCAGGTTGTCAGCAGCACCCCGATGCTGCAAGCACCCTAAAGCAGAGTCAGGTGGGGCTGCACAATTGCCCCAGCACCCATGGGTGAGCAGCTGAGTAGGTAACAAGCGGGCAGATGGAGAACGTAGGTGAAGGAAGGGAAACACAGCGCCAAGAGAGAGGCCGAATTCCCAGGCTCCCAGGAGGAACATGAGGTGGCCAGCAGATGCACTCTTTCCCTGACTTGCTCCGTTTACCACCATTCGTAATAAATCCTAGCAAACTGCCTGCGCTGCCCATCTCTGACCCTTCTTCCCTTCCTCCTCTTTCATCCGCTTTCAGAATCTGCTCTCAGAAGGCAAGCGTAGAGCTGGCCATACCAACAGGACAAGCAGCGCAGGTCCCGACGGCAGGTCCCTGTGTGCATCGCACTGAATGCTGTTCTCATCACTGGCTCGGGGGAGCAGAGCTGCACTGCCCGCAGGCTGCTGTCTCCCTGGCTCAGCCTGGCTCCTGCCCTCACCCCTCAGCCCAGTGCACATTGCATGGGACTTACCTGTCCGATTAGTTTTGGCACCTGTGGATGCTGGGGAAGAGCTATTGCTGGTATCACCAGCGAGGGATGTTCGACTAGAATGGAAAGTTGGTGTTGGTCGTTTCAACTTGCTGCCTGTTGATGGAATGATCTTTAAAAAAAAATTAAAAGGTCACATTTACTTGATGAAATCTTTGACAGACATTTACTTAATTTTAAAAGGTCTAGCTAAAAGCCTCTTTATATCTGATCATTTGAAAAGCAAATTAAAAGTCCAGGAAAACAAAGACCTATTTTCTTTCTTTTCTTTTTTTTGTTTTGTACTGGGAACTGAACTGAGGACCCTGAGCCTGCCAGGCAGGCGTTGTGCCATTGAGCTGTATCCCTGGCCCCAAGACCTACTTTAAAGTATCCTAGGGTCATGGATTTTGAAGATTTTCAAAGGTTTTAAATTAAAAAAAAAGAAAAAGAAAATTCCAATTTAAAATTTCAAAATGTCTTCTAATACCTTTTCTGTTGCTGATAAATTTCTACTAGAAATGGAAAAAAACCTCCAGATAGTAATTAATATAGTTACAATGAAACATGGTAAATGAATAAAGAAAAAAAAAATCCAAATAACCCTATGAATCAATGTTTCAGGGGTAGAAATTTGAAATATTGAGAGAGATTCAAGCAGTACTTCAACATAAGTAGGTGTAGTAACTTTAGTCAAGGCCTCTTGGTCTATCTCCTCCTGCCCTGCTAAAATGCAGATAAAATTACTTAACTTGTGGACCAAATAAATGATATGAGGCACAAGAAGTGGGACAGTGGTGTCAGGATCACCCCCTTGGGCGGGGCCAGGGGCCATGGGCCATGAGTTTGCATCTGGGCTCCAGGATTGCATGGGTCCAAATGAACCAGCCTATGTCTCTGCTCCTCCGTCAGGATCTGGCCTCCCCCACTTCATTTCTACCACAGTCCCTGCCGTTTAGCCTATCCGAGGCATGATGGCCTCCTTGCCGTTTGTATGAAGGCCCACGGAGGTCTCTAGTGTTGTCCCCTTGCTGTCCACGCTGCCTGGACTTAATGCACCCCCGCCCCAGTATGTGTGGATCCTTCCCTCACTTCCCTTAGAGCTCTGCTTTCTGAAAGGATGGTGTTTCAGAGGTGTTGCCTCACTACTCCACGCAGCTTGTACCCTTTTAATCTCCTGCCTTTTTTTTACCCCTCCTCCTCATACTGGCGCTTGACCCAGCAGTGCCTTTATATTGAGCTATACCGCCAACTTTTTCACATGTCAAGATGGGATCTTGCTAGGTCCTTAAGTTGCCCAGACTGGGCTCCAGCTTGGGATCCTCCTGCCTCCTGCCTGGCTCCTTGCTGCTTCTGCTGCACAGTATTTATCACTGTTTCATGTATTACGTATTTTCTTATTGCCTCTTTCTCTTTTATTACAGTGTCAACTTTATAAAACCAAGGACTTTGTTTTACACCCTTGTACACCTTTAGCAGATAAAACTAGCACAGAAAAGGAACTCAATAAAACCTTGGTGTAACCGGGCATCGGGGTGCACACCTGTAACCCCAGTACTCGGGAGGCGGAGGCAGGAAGATTGCTGAGTTTGAGACCAGCCTGGGCTACAAGGTGAGCTCAAGGCCAGCCTGAACTGCATAGCGAGGCTCTGTCTCAAAAAGACAAAAAACATGAAAAACGACAACAAAAAACAAAAAACCTTGGTGAATGAATAAATGATCTGGAGGCATTTCCTAATCTGGAAGAGTTTTATATTATTACTGCTACCAGTAGGAGCTATACTTCCTATATGATTTTTAAAAGAAGAGATATTAAGCAGACAATTTTGAGGAGAAAGAATATTTGAAAGTCTGTTTTAAATATCATTCATGCCATAGCATGCTCTGTGATTCTCCTTTGAAATTAGCTGTGTATATTGTTTTCCAGGACCTTTAAGATGTTTATACAGACAGAAGAGTAAAGTAACCCATTTCACTGTGTGTGCTGCATTTCTTTAATTTATAATGAAAAAGCAAAGCGACAGAAGTGATTAACACTCAAGCATGAGTTCTCCTGGCCCACAGGAGGGGCACCAGTTTCAGAAGTGATCCTTCCAGAGCACTGCTGCTGGGAATCCACAACCCAGAGACCTGGGCTGGGCATTCAGTCAGGATATGGCCTGGCTACAGGATACTAACAAGTAAAGAAGAATGAAACCTCGAAATGAAGCAAGACATTACAACTTGAGACAAAACAAGGCCTGTCTGTCAGAATTGTATGAGAATTTGCACTTCAGAAATTAAGCATTTAAAATTTTAGAACTCTTGAGATTTTCATGAAACTGGAGCCATTACAGAAGAAGAAAAGCAAAATCAGCATGTTGAGTCTTCGGGTTTTAGCAGCAGTAGATCCCCAATCATGTTCTAAACCAGGTAGATTTCTGAACTGGAGTTTTAGCTGGGAGTGGGATGGATCCCAAAGCAGCAGTTCATTCACAGCCACTGGCTTCTTGTGCCTTAGTTTCCCTGGCTGAAACTTTGCCTGATGGAAAGTTCTGTGCTTGGAGTTGCAAGAACCCAATGCTTCCCCCTCGGAGCTAGAATGCAAATTATACTGCTATCAGGCAAGTTGCTGGTCCATGTTTTACTTCTGAAACACTGTTCTAGCAAGTGTTCAGGGATTGTTATGGCTGCACTTAAACATGCTCATTTGCTGGCATGTGTACTCAGATCAAGGTGACAGAAACCCACATGCCTAAGCCAAGGGACTCAGAACCTAAAATCAGCCTCAGCAGTGGCCACTGATCCTGCGCTTGGCTGATGTAGACAGCACCCACTGCTCTTGTTCTACACAAAGATACAACACTGGTGAACATGCACCATAGCTGAATTCAAGTGTTCATAACTCATTTGGGTATCTCACATTTGGAGACTCCAAGAGGCTTGATTATAAATAATATCAATCAAAAAAATCAGGAATGATCATTATTTACCATCCTGAACAAATGAAATGCTAAAGACTTATAAAGTTTTTAAAAGTTTTAGGCCTCTCTTATTTGTCTCCAACTTAGGTGACTCTGAGTTAGAAACCCCTGAAAACACTAGACTGGCGAATCAGCTGTGCCAGCAAGCACCAAAGACAGAAGACAGATGAGCTTGTGTCAGGAAGAAGAGCCAGGCAGGGTCTTGGCGTAAGCGCGGGTCTCATCCTGGCCATGTCCCCACTCAGCAAAGCCATACTCTACCTCGGGGCTGGGCAGCTGGAGGTCAGGACAATGGCTGTCCCTGACAGGGGTGCCCGCTTTACTGTTTACCAGCCAAGGTTTGTCATAACAGCGAGAGAACTGAAGTGGAGTCTGTGAAACGGAAATCCAAAGGGAAGGACGGGGGCAATTTAAAGTGGAACAGAAAGGGAGCAAATTGGGAACAGAAAAAAATAAATAGAAGACACTAAATTTTAAAGAAATAGAAAACAAAATAAAATGCACATCAGTCCAATGGCATGAGAGGGACTAGGCAGAAAGGCAATAGCATTCTTCATTTGTAACCTATTGTAACAGCAAATTTATCTCCAAAGTTAGCTCTATCTGCACAGACAGTGCCTGGATTTTCAAAATTAGTGGCTGGATGGGGTCACACTCAAACTGGGATAAGAGAAAACAAGTGTTTCTGATGTCATCAGACTGAATTTTAGCAAATGTTCTTTGTAATCATCTTAGGCTATGTATCTCTATACTGCGAAGGCCTGGGCATTCTTGGTCTAGGAGGTGGAGGGCTGTACAGTATGTTTCTATAGCTCTTCTCTCTGGAGTTTTCCAAAGGCTACCATGAACAGCGGGCATCTGTCAAGATGGCAGTGGGGAAGGAGCCATCTTGGCAGCCATTGGAATTTTAGCTGGGAGTGGGATGATACTGAGGGGTGGTAGTGTATACCTTCGTTCCGCTGGCTGGTGTGGCTGGAGAAGAGGGCATGGATGTACAGCTGTGGTTACTCTGACTAGCACTTGAGCTAGAGCGGGTGGGAGAAGCTGCCCGAGAAGACGGCTTGGATCTTCGACCCCGGGATCGGAAAGGGGTCATTCCCTGGGATGCTCCCTCTGGTAGGATGAACTTCTCTCTAAGCTCGAGGTTAGTTCTACCTCGTGCTAAAAAGGGAATAAATAACACACAAATAACAAGTCAGTTACTCTTAAAAACGAATCTTTGATGGTCATATAGCTGCTTGACCCCAGATAACAGTTTATCTAAGTTACAGGCCTAGTATCATCTATGCATTCTTCAAAAATAAATTCATGACTTAACAGCTTTGTCATGATTCTGACCCACAGCAGACATACTAACTAGAAAGACCATGGCTTGCTGTAGTAAACAAGTTTTTGTGTACAAAGTACCACCCTGTTCTGTGGCTGGGGTCTTGCTCTGCCACTGTCCCCTGGGGTAAGCACACTGTGACTTCTCAAGGTGAAGCAGATGCAAGGTCCACAAGCCTCTGACATCAATCAAAACCCCTCTTTTCTCTCTCATAGGACATGTGTACTTTTTGCTCGACGTTTTACAGGATATGTGGTAATGAGAGAGTGGAGAAAAACACATTAGTCAAACCAACATTGTCTAGACTCTTCTGTTTGAATTCAGCCAATAACAATCCTAAAGAAAGGGCTCCGGGAACTCATGACAGTAAAATGGTGAATCATTAAGAGGTTGAGCTGGGGATATAGTTCAGCAGCACAGTGCCTGCCTGGCAAGCAGGAGGTCCTGAGTTTGATTCCCGGTACCTGCCTCAAAATAAATTAAAATAAAATGAAATAAAATAAAATAAGTAAACATGTGGGGAGAGAGAGAGAAAGAGATCAAGACCATGCACAAAATTTGCCAGTGAGAAACTGTTCAGTCAAAAACAAACCAGTAAAATGCTTAAGAGGCAAATGCAAGTAGGAAAGGACCATCCAGGTGGAAGACCCTGGAGCCAGAATGAATGCCTACAGGTGCGTCCTCATGCCTTGCCTGAGGACCGGACTGTAAGACTGGAACTTAAGATGTGGATTCAGTCAGATTTCAAGTATGACCGCTACAAACATTAAATGAGAAAGATGATACTAATTTAAAAGAAACAATGCCTCTGGAATATGTCCTTCCATTAGTTCTCACTGAAATATATTATCCTACAATAACCTACCAGCTCACCCACCCTAGACTTTTCACTTTGGAATGTGCTAAAACTGGACATCTAAACAAATGGGAGCATTGGGAAACCCTGAAAAAAGGAGCCATGATGAACTATTTTCTTCTCAACATATTATATGCTGACATACTAAAGCATCAGGTAAATATGTTCTGCTGCCTGGAACCACCAGTTAGTACATGAATGGTTGTCCATCAGTTGGCCTGTACAACCCAATGGGACTGTACCATGCAGCCTTATGGGACAGTCACGCATTACCACTGGGCGTACAGAGCCACCCAATAGCAAGACATATGAACATGTTATGAGCACACTGAAAGTTCTGAGATACTGAAACCTCCTAGGCAGAAGCCAGGCTCTACCACCAGCCCGGATCCTTCCTGTTCTGGGCCTTGGTTTCCAGGATTACTAGAGGTGATCAGGCCAGTGGGTCTCCAAGGGCCCAGCTTGCCTGGTTGCTCTATGACTTAATGGCCCCTGAAACGCTCAAATGCGTCCTTCTACCATGATGTAGTGTTTCCTTCTTCCTCAGGTAGCAACAAAACATGCCTTTCAAGGTTCATTCCTTGGCTATGAGTCCTCTACTCATCTGTTTTCCAGACTTCAGCATTTTTCTCGGAATCTACACTCATTAGCAGACATTCATTCTTAAGCATATTTTCCTTCAGCACTTCGCCACCTCAGTAAGACAGCGTATCACGAGGTACTTCGGAAGTGTGCCCTGCTCCTGCTCATCTTCTCACGCTGAGGTGCCCAGCAGTGACGAGCGTGCAGCAAGCACCGAGGAGCACTGATGAAGAGAAGTCACGTACTCAACTGAGGATCTAGATGCTACGAAAGAAATGTCTGAAGTTCTAACGAACTTCAAGTGTGTGGCCTGAATCTTTAGTAAGCATGTGATAGTTCATTCCCAACCAGAAAACAACAAGAGAAAGACTTTGAAATGGCAGCTGAGGTGTGGGCAATGACATTTTGAGTGTTTTTGAAAGGGCTGCTGGTCTGGCCTGGTGGTACATGCCTGTGGTACCAGGTACACAGAAGGGTGAAGCGGAAAGATTGCTTGAGCCCAGGAGTTATGAAATCATCCTGGGTAACAGTGAGATTCTGTCCCCAAACAGTAACAACACCAAAAAGCAGAAAGGCTATATGTAATAATAGTAACAACATGTTCTCCATGTGTTGTATCATTTTAAAAATGCCATCTCATACAATACTGCAGTTGGCTGTCATTAGCACCCCTACTTACAAACAGAATAGAGGCACCATAGGAAAAGGTCACCCCAAGCTATTTGCAGTCACACTGTGCAGCATCACCTACACTCACCGGCCCTACTCACCACCATCCCACCACTCAGGGAAACTGCTGCCAAAGGCCACTGAAAACTGCCAAATGAAGGCATTTTTATATTGTAGAAAGGTTTAAATGTATAGGAAGTACAAACAGAACCGAAATTGCCCAATCTCAAAATCCAGGGACATCACCTTTCATAATGTTGGTGTGCTTCTACTCCTTTGCACAAGTGTACATGTATTTCATTACAGAATGTTAGGGATGCTGCCCCACTCTGCACATCTCATACAAAATTTCAACTAGCTGTGAAGTGTAATTATACGGATGCCAATTATTTAACCAGTCCAATGCTATGTTCTTTTTTGAGACGGGGTCTCGCTATGCAGTTCGCTTTGTACTCACTATAGCAAAGCTGGCCAAAGCTGGCCTTGAACTTTCAATGATCCTCCTGCCTCAGCTTCCTGGGATTACAGGCATGTATCACCACACCCAAAACCCTCATGTTCTTTTATAGTTATTAAAATATATTCAATGCTCTAGTAACTTACAGAACATCCTTGCACATATCATGGTATTTCCTTAGGGTAAATGTCTACAAATGGGTTTGCTGGGGAAAAGGATGCACATTCAAGATAAAAACATGTCAAGTCATGTATGGCAGTCATATATCAAGGTTGACACATGCCAGGTGATTTCCAAAATGTTATATATATTACATCCAATTAACTTCACTCTGGTCAAGCTCTGTGTTATTAAGGGTGTGTGCTGGTAAAAGTCTGACAATTTGCATGGGTGAGGCCCTGGGTTCCATCTCCAGTACCACACACACGTAAGTCTGAAAATCTGATAGGTGAAAGCATTTCTCTGCTGCTGTCACACACATGTGGGGAATTGCTAACTGCTCTTCCCTTTGAAACGCTCCTCTTCCTTGGCTTCAAGAACACCTGTTCCCTTGCTTCTCCTGCCTCCCTGCCTACTCCTTACTCCTGCCATTCTCTGTAGTCCCGTTCTCCCTCCTGGAGTTTCCACCTGATGGAAGCTCATCCCCTGACACTTTAGAGTCCCCTGAGTCTTCCCCCAGCCTCCCCACACCTGGGTGGTTCATGAAGTGTCACCTCCACCCACCTCCAGCTGAGTGACAGCAGCCGTCGATTCCCCCCACACTCAATCTCCAGGATGAATTTCTACATAAAAACTGTGTTCAGAGCAGATTCACTGCTTAGAGCAGAATCTCCCAGACTGAGCCTTCCAAGGAGAAGGCTTTGGTCAACACCAGCCTCTGCATTGCCCCTTGGCAGAGCCCGAATGCAGCTGGCACCTCGTCTGCTCTGAGAAACCCTGTGCTGGAAGAAACACACTTAGCTTGAACCTGGCATTACCATCTGAACATGACTTCCTGCTTTCCTGAGAGCTGCTCCTGGGGACCCGACAGGCACTGTGGGGTCAGGTGCCCCGCGCTTGGTGGCCTGGTATTCACCATCTGTCCCAGCTGCTGACCCTCACTTATCAGGCTGCCACTTTACCATCGTCACATAGGACTTGTGGTCCCCTTGCTAATGCTCCTGCTTGCTGGAACCTGTGGTGTCCGGACTGAGAACATCACGTGCACTCCGCACGCCTGTCCAGTGTCCCGTGTCAAAAAACCCACAAAACTCCTTGCAAAAACCAAAGCCAAGAAACATCCAAAACTCTATCTACATCTATAAATAAAATTCACTGCAGTGCTTCTAGAATCTGCATTAATCCTAGTGAATCATAGCTTCATACTTCTCTTTCTGATACTTCCTTTCTTACAACTCACTGCCATTCACCACAGTCCTTAGGTGTTCACTTCCTAGCACTACTTTATTTGATTACAAATAACCTGTCTGCTCATCACCATAGTTATGACATCTAAACTCCACGGAGTTTCCCCTCTACAGTCACTGGATGGCAGCAATCGCCAGGTTCCACGAGGGCAGGGGCTCTTGGAGAGGCAGGAAAGCCTTGCCTTGTTTGCTCTGAGGGATGGTGAAAAGGCTACCACGGTCCACAGCAAATAGCCAGTCCCAGACCAGACCCTCCCAAATTTCCTTGAGGTTCAATCTTAGACAGTAAGATTAGGGTATGGCAAGCAGGATTTGCCTTGGTCAGCAGCATAATGTGAGCAGAGCAGGCAGCACATAAACAGGCACTCAAGGTTCCAAAATGCTACATGCAATATCTCATTTGTTTACTCCAATCATACATGGCAGGAAAACAAAGACCTTACTAATGTATCTGTAAAGGAATAATGTTGTTTTACTAAGTTATAATGACACATATTGCTTTTTTCATTTAAAATAATGAAACAAGATTTTAAAATTAAAAACATTGGTTTATAATTAAATTCTTCTGAAGTTGATGAAACCTTTTAAGTTATTATCAGACAGCATTTCCAAAATTAACCTTTTATTTAAAAAAAAATTAACCTTTTATTAAAATAAAAAATAAAACTTCTAGTGGTAATTATCATTGCTTGGTTTTTCCTCTGGCTTATTAGAGTAAATGCAGAATGAGCTAAAGTACCAGGTACAATTTATAGGCATGCTTGAATTCATGTAAGAATGGTACCTTTTAGCTCTGTCTTCTCTAACTTCTTTAGAATATGACTATAAGCCACCTCCAAAGCAGCTGTGTAATGGTACTAGAAATATTTACTTCTACTTGGCTTATGAACAAGCCTTAATAATTTATATGGGCTGAACCCATGGTATATACACAATAAGAAGGATGTGAGCCTCTCAGACATGGTGGTCAGGAGCACCTGCCCTAACCCTGGACAGCCTAGATTTAAATTGTGTCTCTGCTATTACTGGCTGGATGCCCTTGATAAAGTTATTTAAATTTTCTATGCCACAATTTCCTATTTTGTAGAGTGGAGATAAGAGTAAATACGACTCATAGGGTAATTATGAGGAAAAATGTGTTGCTATTTGTAAAATGCTTATAGTAGTATGTGGCACAGAAAGCTATAGGAACATTTGTTAAATAGAAACTCAGGGCAAACTCTTTAGATACTATCTCAGTAGCAGTATTTCATGCCTTGTCAATGTAACTACTAGGCAAAATAGTGGTTTTGCTATTTCACGCATTCACCAAGGCAGCAGATGTCATAGAGCCAAGGATATTACAGTTTAGGAAGCAAAGCCATTCTCAATGGACTAGAATGTGGGGAAGAGGGTTACAGCACAAGAGCCAACCTATGGGAGACTGACTGGAAATCGAAGAGCTGGAATCAGAGCGCTTTATTTTACTCCCAGGATGGTGAACTAGAATAAAAAATATATAAACAAAGAAACAAAGGCAGAGCAGGAAATGCAGAAACTCATTAAGAAAAACAAACTGGCAGACAGAGGGGGAGCCTCCTGTACACCCGCATACCGCTCTGCTAACAGGAAAGCAGAAAGGATGTTGCTGAGCAGGATTTAGCAGCTGGGATCCGATCATTCTCCCTTTGCTGCTCATATTACACTGACAGTTTTCTTTCTCCTTTGGACTGGTGGGCTAGCCTTTCGGGTACACAAGGAAGACACTCCACAGGCTTGCCTAGGTGACCATCTGTCTTAGAAGTCGAGGCAGCTGGTAGGAGACCTTTAACCTCCCTTCCAGCTAAGGGAGCTCACCAATCCTTTCCTGAATGGGAAGGGCCCAACACTCACTCTGAGTTTCAGTCACAGGAATTCCAAGCCAAGGGGGCTGAGGCTAAGACAGAAGAATGCACTGGACTGCCTCAGGCTCCCTGCGAGGCTGGTGTTAATGCAATACTTCAAACTAAAACATATGGGTTATACCAATAGATTATTTTTTGGGTACTGGAGTTTGAACTCATGGCCTTCACATTGAGCTACATTCCTAGCCCTTTTTTATTTTGAGACAGGATCTTATCCAATTGCTCAGGCTAATGAGTGATTCTCCTGCTTCAGCCTGCCAGAATGCTGGGGATCACAAACTTGTGGTACCATGCCCAGCATGTACCAGTAAAATCTAAATTCTCATTTCTGTGTTCTCCCCAACAGCATCAACCTCTCCTGCCTTTTCTTTCAGGCACCCCAAGTTTTAATCTGTGCTAGTGGATCAAGATACTCAAGCGGCTTAACAGCAAAACAAAAAAACAGACCCATCATCAATACTTCCTAAAACATGAAAGATCGAGGTGGGGCCTACCTAACATCCTACCGTGTAATTCATATTCAGGGTGGTTTCTTACCTCGGCAGGGATCATTTTTCACTAAAAATTCATCCAAGGCCATCCATCCGCCACCAACTCGGACCATCACTGTGCTGCGCAGAATACGGACCAGCCGCAACTGCTGAGAATCCCCGAACTGCAGAAGCGAGGGGAAACTTAGTTAATGAGAAACACCTTCAAGCAGACCTATTTTTGTTTTCCCCAAAGCAGACTGTATTCAGACGGGAACAACAATATGATAGTTTTGGCAGAATTTTAAACTCTTTTGTACTTTTACATTTTTACAAAAAGGTTAACAAATAGAAAATCAGAGACATCAAGCAATGGACCAGTGTCTTGAAATACGTTCCGGTGGGATAAAGTTAAATCCTGAGGGTCATAACCCTGCCCCTGTGTCACGAGGAGAAGGGAAGACAGGCAAATGTTCACTTGCTTTGATTTTCTTAGAGATTCTGCCCAAATTAGCACCTACTTTCTGTTGTGCTAATTTATTTTCCTACAGGAAAGGAGGGTGGCTGCCAACTTCTGAATACAGTGTGCTTGAAAGTTAAGTGGAGAATAGCAAATGTCAAGCCTTACGGAAGCCCCTGCAAAGCATCATTATTGCAAGCTTAGAAGAAAACTGCACCCTAAATCTTCTCTTAACTGTGATGGCATCAGCAGAAAAGGTTTCTTCAGCTAAGGAAATGCTTAGATAGTGTTTATACTAAGATTAGTTGAAGAAATAGTTATTACATTTTAATCTCCTAAGATGACTAAAATAGCCTTCAATAATCATTCTGGACCTTAAAACAAGCATGATCTTCCAATCTATATTTTAACTTTTTGCTTCTGCCTACTAACATTTCTACTTCTCAGGAGTTTCTTACTATGTAAATTGCTAAGAGGCAACAAAAGAAAAGCATGCTGAAATCCCAAAATAGTATCAAACATTTGGTTAAAGAAAGTGAATTTTTTTTTTTTTTTTTTGAGACAGGGTCTCCCCTATGTAGTTCAGGCAAGCTTTCAACTCATTATGTACCCCAAACTGGCCTGGAAATTGCAGTGATTCTCCTGCCTCAGCCTTCTGAGTGCTGGGATTACAGGCATGCAGCACCATGAATGGCTAGAAAGTGAATTCCTACAATTACTTAATTCAAAGAGAATGTTCCTAGCGGGTGGAGGAGAAGAGACTGTTTAATCCCCTACTTAGGATTTTCAATGTTCTACAGGAGAATCATAATTTTAAAACAACTGCAAGTGAGAAGGATGTCTGAGAACGACACATAACCATCCTTCCTCAGTGTTAATAAATTGGTGGTAATTCTCCACATTCCTGACTCACATGTGCTGTTACGTAGGAATGGAGGCAAGCCCCTTTGTCCCTTTGTCCTTCCCCAGTCATTTACAAGACAGTGCAGCTCTGTCTAGAAAGTCTTCTATAAGTGACCACGGCGACAGGGCGGAAGCTTAGACACAGCACTACCCAGGGCTGTGAGGGAAGGAATGCCCTGGCCCAGGGAGGCAGTGCCGCCCATCAGAGGAACCTGGTTTTGGGAGGCAGGCAAGCCACACCAGACACAAGCACAATGGTGTTTTCTCTGTATGTTCTCCAGAGCTACCCTGGAGAGAACTTTAGAATATAAGGTCCTATAGCTTATTACTCCACCCATCTCTTTAATTTCCCACTGAAGCACTACTTGAAAGATTCTAGCTCACTTCTGCAAGCACTGGAGAAAGGAAGACTGACCTGAGACAGAGGCAATAATAGTTGGGGAAACTGAGACAAAAGTGACAGGTAGTTGCAGTAGCTCTAAAAATGGGGACTTAGAAGACAGGTTCACGGTGGAGGAGAAGAGAGACTTAGAATCAGAGTCCTGGTGGCTGGTGATCACCAGTTCCTCCTCCTACTGGGACTAGGGTTTTGGCCATGGCTTTGACATTAGCTGTGTGACAGTGGCATGCAATCTTCAAGGCCTCAGGCGCTTCATACAAAAAATGAACTTCCGTAATTCTTTTTTTTTTTTGTCTTTTTGAGACAGGGTCTCGCTCTGCAGTTCAGGCTGACCTTGAGCTCACTTTGTAGCCCAGGCTGGTCTCGAACTCACAATGATCCTCCTGCCTCAGCCTCCCGAGTGCTGGGATTACAGGCATGCGCCACCATGCCCGGCTTGAACTTTGTAATTCTGTTTGCAACATTAGAACAACTCATCAGACCTCTCCTGGTCAAAAGGGCAGTAGAAGAAGGTGTCAGCACCCCTTTGAGGGCCCTAGCACCTAGAAACTCAGCAGAAAGCAGGCCTGCTGCATGCTCTACTGCAGTGGTTTACTTAACACAAATTTAACTGTTTTCATCTTTATTTTTTTCTATCCCATGTTCCTTCTCACTGGCCCAGAACATCACTGTAGTTAGTAATCACTGCAGTGCCTGGAGTTTTAACACTGACTGAAGGCTTCAAATCCATCTCAGTCTGTCTATTTTCACAGCAGAGAGACAGATTTTACTCATGCAACTGCCTTCCACAAGACCCAAGACCCTCAAAAAGATGTGACAGGTTAAAGTTACCAAGTGGAATCAAGGCATCCAATCACTTATGTAAGTCTAATTTGATCTCATTAGATTTGGGCTGACTGGCCCAAACCAGCAAACTTCAGGTTATGGTTAGGTATGACTTTCATTACTACAATTCTCAGGTATCTTCCAATTGCAAAATAAAATATATGTGTAAGTAGCTAAAAATACTACTGAAAAAAAATTTTTTTTTTGGTAGTCTCATGCTGTAGTTCAGGCTGGACTTGAACTCACTATGTAGCCCAGGCTAGCCTCAAACTCCTAATGGTCCTCCTGCCTCAGCCTCTCAAGTGCTGGGAGTATAGGTGTTCACCACCACATGTGAAGTAGTATTTAAACAGACAGTAAAAATTACCCCCCCAGGACTTTGACTTAGTGCGCATTAAAATTTTTGTTTACTCTTGACTGATAATGAGAACTGTGCTGCTATTATTCTGACCTGGCTTCTCTGTAAGAGGAACGGATGTGACACCATAGCCTCAATTTTCCCTCATCACATTACTTATAACTCAGTGCAGCATAACATAATCATCTTTAACCAGTCTAATTTTGAATGAGAAATTTTTATCTTGTTTTTAAAAATCCTTTAGCTGTTGAGACAGCTTTGTGACACTGGCTCTGTTAGCAGTTTCTCCACTTGGTAAGACAACCAGAGGTGACCAGGCATGCTTTGGATTACATCCTCTCCCCACAGCAAAGGACAGGAAGCTCCACAGACCACACCCACTGAGGACACTGCAAGGCAACTGTACCTGATTGCCGAGGAAGAACTACGGATAGTACGAGTAAAGGATGGGGGAGAAAGAGAACATTTTGTCAAATTCACACTAAGGAATGGAAATCATATCATGTTAACAGTCTTCTAAATACACAGATTGTACTCTTACTGAGCTCCTGTGACACAAACATGACTACAAATTAACCGACACTGAGTTTCCACTCTGTGTTGCTCTTGTTAGCTCATTTTTCTCACAGGTAACTAAATAAACAAGAAAATAAACCCCAACAAGCCAGCACAAGATTACTTGGAGCTCTAACTAAATGCTCTGGGTTGGGCTTGGAGCAGAGATGCCCAGCGCTCCTCAGCTCACAGCAGCCGGGTGTGGATCTGGTAGACTTTGAGGACACTGCGAGGTATTGAAGGAAGCTGGACTGTCCTGTTTCAGCCTAACCTCCTTGCCAATCATGGATTTTTCTTCACACTTTATGGAATCTTAACAAGCTAGTGAATATATTTTACGAGCCCTGTTTTTTATGCCTTCTACATTCCCCATTCTGGGTCTCAAGTTTCGGTACAAGTATAGTTCAACGTCACTAGCGCCACACCAAGCACTTCGGGTATGGGAACCTGGGTGCCCAGCGGATGTAGATCTCATCCGTAGCCCATTCAGAGCAGCCACAGTATCTGCTGAGGCCCTGATGCAGTCCCCGCCACGCTCTCTGAGCTTGGGAGCCACTCTGGTTCCCTTGGGATGAATCATCAGTCGTCAGATAGATGTAATCATCTGAACAGGTAACTTCATCCCCACTAAGACTCTACCCAGCAGTGAGGTGAGGGCTCTGAAGTGTCTCCTACCTTGCCAAGTGTAAGCTACGGTCCACCAGTCATGGCCATTTCTCAGAGAGAACTACATAGGCCACAAAATAAGCTTAGCCCAACAGACACCTGCCATTTGATATTTAGAGATGAAAGCTGAAAGCTGAGCACATCTCCAGCTCACAGGCTCTGGCAGTCTATCACCAGGAGCGAGAAAGTAAGATCATCCAGTCTGCTGTATGTCACGCTGCTGTCACTCGTAAAGGTCATATGTGAGGAAACCACCTCCACAAAGGGACGGTTCTTCTCTTCCTTACCCGGTACTTATTCTCTCCAATCTGCTCCACCTGAAATCTTTTTGCACACTTGCACTGAGCCACTTGTCTTGTGACCTATTGGATGTGAACAACAACATCGACAAAACTATTAACGAGGAACAAGACTTCCTAGTCAGAGAACCAAAAAAAAAAAAAAAATTTTTTTTTACATGTAAATAGAAATCCCATTCATTACCCAGGGCTGGGACAGTGGGTGTTGAATTCAGGGTATTTACACTGGGGGTTATCTCCCCAGCCCAGGAAGTACTCAAATCTTTAATCTTCCTGCCTCAGCTTCCCCAAGAGTGCTGGGATCCAAGCATGACCCACCATGCCTGGCACATCTCACTCCTATGTGCTACATTTGAACACCCTGTCTCTGGGTTCTGAGGTAGGGTGCTTATGACTAAAATTAGTCCACCTATGTGATTCAGTACCTGTGAACCAAGATGAGTACAATTCCTTGGAAAGGGTCCCATCAAGAACTGATCCCAAAACAAAACTCCAAATAATCACCTCCTCAAGGTAAGTAGAAGGGCCAATAATAGTAGCCACACCTAAATAAATTCAGGACAATATAAACTGATATTAAAAAATATATACTCAAAATTCCATATACCTCATCCTCAATTTTATCTGCATCGGTTGTCGGTCGGTAAGCATCCTTATTGGGATGGAGAGCGGCCACAAATTCATAGTAGTCGATGTAGCCATCGCCGTCCCGGTCGAAAATGTCAGCCACAGCGGTCATCTCTAACTTGGTGGTAGGGAACTCTGGAGAAAGGAGCCATGGTTTTAAACATTACGGTGGCTTAGTGGTTGCTGAGAAGTTATATAAATACTTAACAGAAAAAATAAATTGTATTTTGATTTTTTTTTTTAAAACAGCGTATGTTCACTTTATTTTTTATTTTTTTGAGACAGGGTTTCACTATGTAGTTCAAGCTGTCCTTGAATTCACAGCACTCCTCCTGCTTCAGCCTCCTGATACTGGGATTACAGGCATGTGCCACCATGCCAGGCTGTGACTTTAAGAAACTCAAGAGACTCAAATCATAAAGATAAAAATCACTCAAAAATGTAGCAGTTTGCCAGGTGTGGTGGCGCACGCCTGTAATCCCAGTACTTGGGATGCTGAGGCAGGAGGATTGTTGTGAGAGGCCTGCCTGGGCTACAAAGTGAATTCAAGGCCAGCCTGCACTGCATAGTGAAACCCTGTCTCAAAAAGGCAAAAAAAAAAAAAAAGCAACCAAGGACTAGTCACTGTTAAGATTTGGGTATATTTGCTAGAAGATTCCCCTAGCCCCTATGCAGTTAACAAAATAAAAGCAGTATTTTATTATTTTGGGTTTTTTTTTCTGGTACTGGGAATCAAACTCACGATGTCGCGCTTGCCAGGCAGGCGCTGTGCTGCTGAGCTAAATCCCCAGCCCCTAAAAGCAGTATTTTAGATATACCAAAAGGCATGGAATATTACAGTGACTCATCTTAAGAATTTACTTATTCATTCCTCTTTTGTTGGATGTTTAGATTAGTCACTATTTCTGAACAGTAACCCTGTGGAATTAATAGCATAAGTTTTTTTTTTTTACCCTTCTATGTTTAGATTACTGTCTTCAATTCTTGACAAATTGCTTTCCACAGGGGAGTGTGAGTATTTACGGTACTTGGCATTATTTATTAAAACCTAAGTTGGATCACACTGTTTCTCAGCTGAAAACCTCAGCTGGTCCTGAACTCTCCCACAAGGCCCTCCACGAACCGGCTGCTGGCCACTCTCCTACCCTCTACCTTGGTCACAACACTCCAACCATGCCAGCATTTCCAGGGCTAGAACATGTCAGAGTCCCTGCCACACAAATGCTGTTTACCTTCTGTTCTTTTTGCCTCTTAGCTCCTCCCCTAAATTTTCACATGGCTGGATCATTCTCATCATTTAGAGCTCAGCTCAAATTTTACCTCTGCAAGCCGGGCGTGATGGCACACGCCTGTAATCCCAGAACTTGGGAGGCTGAGGCAGGAAGATTGTTGTGAGTTCAAAACCAGCCTGGGCTACAAAGTGAGCTCAAGGCCAGCTTGAACTGCATAGTGAGACCCTGTCTCGAAAAGACAAAAAAAATTTTTTTACCTCTTCAGATAGGCTATCTGTGACTGTTATGCGAGACTGCATTGCTTAAGAAATGCTCTGTGATCTTGGCAAGTCATGTAATTATTTTACGTGTCAACTATTTGTTCTGCTAACACTGTGTGAGCTGTTATGGAGATGTCAGAAAATGCTTTTATGAAAATATTTTTAAAAATTTTTTTTCCAGTACCGAGAATCGAACTCACAACCTTGTGCTTGCCAGGCAGGCGCTGTGCTGCTGAGCTAAATCCCCAGCCCCCGAAAATTATTTTTTATATATGTCACTCAGACCTTCATCATTCACAAAAGATAACTTCTTAGCCATACCTCAAATGTGTCTTGCTTGCCTCAACATATCTATCAAGACAGTTTTTTATTCCTAGTGAAATGAGAATCTTCTCTTTATCAAAATGCTAGACCACTTTTTTTTTTCTTGTGCTGGTAATCAAATTCAGGGCCTTGTGCTGTGCCACTGAGTTACAACTTTTAATACGTGGTTTACACTACTTCTTCCTCAGAACTATAGCTTTTACTTTGAAAGACTGTTTCACAGAATAGCACAACTTCTGCAAAGTACATGCACAAAATCCAGGTGTGACCTGTGTTTGGAAGTACAAATGGACTCACTCGATGCTAAAATGCCATCAATAAACTCCTGACGTGTTATCTTCCCATCTTGGTCCTTGTCAATGCGTCGGAAGAAATCCATCACCCGAGACTTCTTGTGATTCATCCAACGCATATACTTTTTTCTCCAGACATCAAAGTCAAAGTTGGCGAATTCCTTCAACTAGATAGAAATCAGAAGTATCAGATGATCTATTGTTTTGGATCCTCCAAGCTGCCCAGAGCACACCAAAACTCTCATTCAGTGAAGCCATGCAGGTCTTCCAGAAGGGCACTGACAGTGTGGCTTACACATGTCTCTTCTGTGAAGGCAAAATCTGGCTCCTTCACTTAACCCATGACTGCTTAACATGAGCTGTGGTATAATGCAGCAGCAGGAAAAACAGTAACTAAAAAACTACCACAGAAAATACGGAGCACATAGAACGAAAATGGGGGGAGCCAGGCTTGCTTTCCCTTCGGATTTTGTCAAGAATCACCCTCCTAGATGTATGGAAATGGATTTCATCCCAGAGGTGAGGTCTTAGCATCATTTACATGTTGCTTTGAAAGGCACTGTGAATCACACATGGGGCCACATCAGGAGGCCCATGTTTCCCACCATTTTCTGAGACTTCTTTGAGAAAATTAGAGCTCTAGATCGAAGGACTAGGAACCCAACCCTGTACCCAAGCATGTTTCTTTGAAATGGCACCAGAGGGAACAAACTGCCCACTTAATGTGTATGTTAAATGTTTGGCCTTCATGGAAAACAGCAGGTCTAGGCAGTGGGCAGAGTGACTTTTAGCTACTTGGATTATATTAGCAATTCACATTCAGAATGATTTCACAGTGCAGCAGTTTTCCCCCTGGTCTTTCAAATTTCAAAGTTGGAAGAAATGGGGGAAAAAAGCTTCAGAACCAAATATGCTTAAAACTCAATTGGCCTATGGAAACAACAACAACAAACACAGAACACTCACTTCCGGGTATAGCTGCTTTGATAGGCACAAACAAAAAAATATGAAAGATATTAGAGCCTTCTTTTAAAAACTAGAAAATGCAGTATTGTATTTTTTATATGAGGTAATGATAATTCAAAACAGACTTGCTTTTTATGAGCTGGGGAAGATAGTAAGATTGTAACAAATGACTCCTTTCATAATTGTGTAACATACCTGTATCTTTACATAAAGAGCTCAATAATGGTTAGTTCTATGAAAAGCTACACATATGGAGAAACCTTTTCAAAGTTATGTTCTTGATTCTTGACTATAGCAAGATGCGGGGAAGGATCAGGCCACTGCCTGACCCCTGTATTGACTGCCTGGTTTCTTGCTTACTATGATCAGATGCCACGGCCTCCTCTGCTCTGAGAGGTTTTCCTAGAAATTTGTCTTTTTCATTCAGGAGTGTGAAGAAAGGAGTAGTGGCTCAGCATAGGTCTGATTCTACTTCTGAAGAAGCAGGTAGAGGCACATGGTCACAGTAAAAGGGCCTCAGAAAGACTATGTTTTGATTAGGAAAAGGCCACTCGGTGGGGCAGTACCTCCTCCAGGCGATCCAAGGCATCGTTCAGCTTCCGCTGGCGCTCCAGCGCTAACAGCCAAACCTGTTGCCACCGGGCAGAGAGCTGGTTGATCCGTGGGTTTTTCGCTTCAGACTGTGAAAGGATTGGTATGGGAGGAGGTGTGGGCTGACTCAAGGGCTTCCCTAAAAAGAAAAATACCCACGAGATTAGAAAAGCTGGTTTTGTCTGTCCACACAGAGAAACAGTTATGTGGATGAACCCAGAGATCTTTATAATGCTACCCAGTCAGTAACTCAGAAAAGAAATGATGGACTTGGCAACACTGAGGCACGTAGGTATACTAACACTAACTCTGACCCTCCTCCCAGCCAACAAGTGTTTACCTAGCTCCTATGCAATGCTCACCAATTTTTTTTTTTTTTTTTTGGTTTTTCTGCGGTACCGGGAACCGAACTCACGACCTTGCGCTTGCCAGGCAGAATGCTCACCAATTTTTGTCCTTCCTTAGTGAACTGAGGATTGTCAACTCAATGGCAAAAGCAGTGGATAATACAGGAGCTTATGTGTGCTATAACTAAATCAGTGCAAAGCACATGTAAATAGCACTGATGACCAAAACACTGAAAAGGTCACTGCTAAAGAACAGGCTTCACTACCTGTTGAACTAAATTTCATACTAATTGAACAAAACAGAGTTAGTATAAAAAACCGAGTTTCAGAAGAGATTTGGAAGCTGGATGTGATGGCACATGCCTGTCATTCCAGCACCTGGGAGGCTGAGGCAGGAGAACTGCCAAAAGTCCAAGGCCAGCCTGGGCCACATAGTGAGTTCAAAGCCAGCCTGAACTAAATGTGACCCAGACTTTAAAAAAAAAAAAAAAAAGAGAGAGTGGTTCCAACCCAGTATAGTTTTGAAAATCAGAAAGTATTTATCACAGACTTTTGGAAATGTTCATCTTCAACTAGCATATTCTAATGTAGAGGGGTAGAGACATACTGCCACCACCACGGGATTTCTCAATGAAAGGAGCATGGGTAGGTTCCACATTCTTCCTTTTGTATGTCTTGGTGACCCGGTCCACATCAGGCTGTTTTCGAGTCATCTCTTCCATAAATGTCTGTTAAGTACAAAAATTGAGAAAAGAGTTGAGAATTTTCTTTTGCAAATAGGCATCGTCTTACTGCTAAAGGTCAAGCCCATGACTACCCAAGTGACAGATGTCCTTGTATACTCTCACTACTTTAAGAAATTTAATTGAGCAAGAAACTTTATCAGGACTAAAGACCTGAAGAAGGAAGACCTGGCCTCTTGCTTCAAGGACTCACAGCTTAGTGATGAAAACCCAAGGCTCTGAGTGCTAAGTGCCACTGAGGACTCTAGGTGTGCACCTCACAGCCCAAGGAGGCAAGGAAAGCTGAGTTGAGTTACTGAGGGACGAAGAAGGGGGGCAAGGCAGGCAGTCCCAGCAGAGTGGCAGTCTGGGCAGAGCAGGGGAGCCCGACAGCCTCGGGAACGAGGACCCCTTCCCTCACTGGCTGTGCAGAAGATATAACCAGAGGCTTGGCAAGAGGTGGGGTTGAGGCAGGCAGGAGAAAAATCAACAGAGGACTTGTATCAGGGATAGGAATTTTATTCTGAGAGCAATGGGGACAATGAAGGATTTTGACCCAGAGAAGAGACACGGCACAGGCATGTAGCCCTGGACAGCTAGTAATACAGCCTCACATGACGGTAAACTTTTAACACTACTATGTGATTTTTAATCAATACTTTTATGACTTAATTGCTTGGTTTTCAAGTGTAAACTATGTAGGTAACAGAACAACACTGCAAAGGCAGGTGCAGCATGCAGTGCTGATGCTGCCTCCTCTGCCCACTACACCGTCAGTGCATCTGTGAACAATGATCTTCAAGGATGAAGTACATGAAGAGTAAAATTAGATAAGGAACTTCTAACGAGCACCTTGAGAATGCTCAAAGAACTGCAACCATTTACATCAAATCAGCCTGACATGTCAGTTTCACAGAATTAAGGTCAAATATACAACTAGCTTTATGTTGCCTTTTTATAATATTTTAAAAAGGAAGTTTTGTTAGTTATGTACATCAACTATATTACATGTTTTATACGTAGTCCAAGAGAATTTGTCTTCACTCAGTGTGGCCAGGGAAATCAAAGGTTCAACACTCATGCTTTGGAAGAGTCATTCTGAGAATGACTTCAGGGAAGACTGTGGAGTGATGGACGGCAGTGGGGTGCAGGGAGAGATCAGCACTAGGGACAGAGATTAGGAAACCATTGCAATAACTGAGGCAAAACACGCTGAACAAAGGAGAAATGATGAGGCCCAGAGGTATTTCAAAAGCAGGACAGTTAAAATGTTGTATCAGAGTAGATGCAAGGGGAACAGGAGACAGGAGAGACCCATAGCTTCTGTGTTGGGGAACTGGGTAAGGAAAGAGACAGGTTTGAAAGGAAAGGGTGTGGCCAGGCAAGGAGGCAAAGATAAAATGGAATTTTATTTATTTGTTTGTTTTGAGACAGAGCCTCACTATATTATTTTCAGCTGGTCTTAAACTTGCAGCAATCCTCCTTCTCATCTTCCCGAGTGCTGGTGCAGATAGGTGCCACTATGCCTGGCACAAAAATGCAATTTTAGAGCCACTTCTAGTTTATGTCTAGACTGTAAGAGGTAATGGTGCCAGGGGTGAAGAAAAAGATTGGAAATCTATGGTTTATAGATGACTTCTAAAGCTGCTAGACTAAATAAATTTTAGCAGTATGAGCAGTGAGCCAAGAGTGGAACTTCAGAGACCATCATCAAGTAGCGAGAGCAAGAGGAACAATTAAGATGACTGAAAAGGAACAGTTAGGGAGCTCAGAGGAAAGAAAGTGGAAGGACAGTGACGTCAAAGGGGAGTTTTAAGAATGAAGAGCCAACTATGCCCCATGTCAAGTAAGACAAAGAAGAGGACATGTCTGGAACCATGGTCTGAGGGGAAGAAGGAATGACAGGGGCCGGTGCAGTGAATAGGAACGAAGAAGAGGAGATGGCAAAGAGAAGCCTGGCTGGAACATGAGGACGACAACGGCAGGAACTTGAGGGGAAACAGGCTTAAAGGGACATCTCCGAAAGCTTGAAGGGAGAGTACATAGAAAGGGAGAGCCTGAGGACAAAAAGGGGAGCACGGGATAACCTAAAAGAGGACTCACCTTGACCAGGAGGAGGATGACCTTAGATCAAGAGGGCAGGTGTCAGTGTAGGTAAATCTCACCAAAGTATAGTGAGTTCTCACTTTCCAGAGTAATCTTCTACACAGACTAAAAAAGGCTACACTGCCCAAGAGTAAAACTAAGTAAACCCATTCAGTGTAAACTAACATGGTTAGAAACTGTACTTGTTTCCTAAGGACAAGCTATGAAGACAGCATAATTAAGCTTTCGCTCACTGGTTGGTGTGATGTGTCGTCTTAGCCCTTCCTGGATGGGCAAGAGCTCTTCCTGAAGCCAGGTGTAATGGGGATAGGCCCTTGGCTCCAAGAACGGCTGGTGGTGTGCATGCCCTGTGTAACCCCCTTGAGTGAAGGTGATACCTATGAAATGGCAGCTTTGGTTACATTTCATTACATAAGATCTGGCGGTAGCACAAGGGACAGTTTTTCCTGCTGGTTTTGAAAACCCAGTGAGAGGGTTCTATGGCTAAGACCTGAGGATAACCTCTAGGACAGTGATGGTGAATCTTTTAGAGCTTTCAATGATACACACAGCTCCCTGCAGCATGTGTGCAACAGGTTCACTAACATTGCTCTAGGAGTTTTGTTTTGTTTTTTTCCCTCTAGGAGTTAAAAAGCCATCAAGAAAATCGCCAGTTCAGTCCTACGACTGCAAGGAACTGAGTGAGCCTGGAAAAGGGTACCAGAGTTCAGATGAGACATGAAGTACTGACTGCCTACTGAGACCCTTAAGAAGATAAGTCAGCTAACTTATGCTCGACTCTCGACCCATGGAAACAAAGGTCTGAGTGAAATGTTTTAAGCAGCTAAGACTATAACATGTGACACACAATTAAAAGAGTGTGCAGTACAAAGAAAATGGTCTCCATGACTGCACAGGAAACACCAGTGAGGTTAGGATACCTGATGCTCAGCGATAAGGGCTTTAACTCTGTCAATGTTCTGAGGGATTGGTTCCTGATCTCGCTGAATGAGAGTAGTCTCGGCCCACTGGATCCATGCCAAAAGTTCTTCCAGGAGCTCAGCGTTAGCCACCAGCTCTGACAGGGCAGTTTCCAGGCGCTGCTGGTGTTGCTTTGCCCATGTTAGGACCTGTGGAGAGAGAAGAAAACCATCCCCTGTTCCTAAGCACCTTTTCATCTGATCCACACAGTTTGTTAGGGGAAAGACTGCCCACGCAGTTAAGAGGCCTCTCTCTTACCCCAGCGAGAAAATTTGGGTAAGAGCTACAAAAACCAGCCAGTTCTCCTATGAGGAGATTCAGTACATCCCAGGAAGGAGGGAAGCAAAACACTCAATGTGTCTACCCAAATCATATATCACTATATCAGTACAGACCACTGCACATTACCAAGAAGTCTTTACTAAAATGCCAACTTAAATTTTGTTCAGAAATTCATAATGAGTAAAAAATTCCTTTTCTAAGGGAACAAGACAATTGTGTCTTATTTTATCACTACAATCTCATATCTCTGGGTTGTGACTCACTTCCTCAAAGCGAGCCCGGATGATTGTGATCCAGTGTTTAATGGTCGTGATGCAGTCAGGGTGGCAGACAGCCAGGACCACTTCTCCCATGGCCACTGCTGCATTCACATCCACTCGCTTTTCTTCCACTTTCTTCATGAACTCCTAAACAAACGAGATCAGACAACAGAAACTGAAGAAATGTACTCTGTCAGAACTATTCTCAGAACTCAGAAGGGAAAGAAATTTTAGCATATTTTTTCCCTATACATGTTAGCACGGGCCTCTAAAAACCTGTATCTAGGTATCTGTACTTTCTTTCCCAGCTCTACAAGATGTGGAAAGGTGAAAGGTATATGCAAAATAGATAAGGGACACAGAGGTATGCCCTTCTTTTTCTCTTTTGAATTACTCTCTTTTTTAAAAACCTTATCTTTATTCATTTCACATTTGTAAACATATTTGTCTTGGAAAAATATAATAGCTATAAAACAGCACAATACTTAAGAAATACCTAGTAGAGGATACAATGACAAAACCAAGATTAAAATCTCTGGGTAGGTAACATGAAAATTAGAAAAGGAAACAGCATTTCCTACTTCATCAGGGTACACTGAGGCCCCAGAGATATGGGTTATATTCTATAGCTCGGTAAACAGTTTTTTTTTTTTTTTTTTTTTTTTTGGTTTTTCTCCGGTACCGGGAACCGAACTCACGACCTTGCGCTTGCCAGGCAGGCGCTTTGCCGCTGAGCTAAATCCCCAGCCCCTCAGTAAACAGTTCTTAAAGATCAAACCAAGGCCCAAAGCTGGAAATGTAAGTCCAACAAAGGCACGAACAGAGGACAAGTAAAGAAAGAGAAATGGTCTGCATTTTCGTTACACAACAGTACATTATTTTACTTGTTTACAACCAACATGAATTACTTTTGGAAAAATCAATGAATGTTGATGCTTAAGGTATCACAAAAACTATCAATCACTTCCCTCTTATTCCTGCTATCTCAATGAACTGGCCCATTCTGATTTTGCTCATTTTTACATGAGGCCTACTATTTCCAAGCAAACCCTGCTCTCCTGAGTGGTGGGGCAGCCCTCAGTCACCTATGATGGGTAACAAGGGTCATGACCCCTTGGCCTAGATTACCTTGTGGGTATCAATGAGAGACTGCAGGGCTTCTGTGTCATCAGGAAGTGCCCCTCGAAAGCGAAGAGTTTGCTCTGCTTCAGAAAGCCACTCCAACAGCATGTGGACAGTGTCTCGAAACTCTTCAGCCTGAAATAACCAAGCACAAAAGATTGGACCTCTCTCTGCAGCCGGGCCTTAGACTGGGACATGCCAGTCTGGGGCTGAACTCTTTAGTGTATCACAGGCACTTCCTGCTCTGGTCAAAGCCCCACCAAGGTCACCTTTCATTTGTAGATCTTCAAAAGCCATGCACTTATTACTTCTCTAATACCAATGAATGTTAAAATCCTAAAGAACATTCAGAGTATCAATTTTTACACTATGTTCCAGACTGGCTGGAACTGAGCCTCATAAAGAAACTAAAACAAATATGCCCAAATCCCTGCCTTGGGTTGGCTCCCAAATTCTCTTACTTGTTTTAAGGCCTGCTCAAGACGGCTTTGCTTGGAAACAGAGAGTTTACAAACAGTGTCCCAGCGAGTGCTCAGTTCCTGCAGCTGTCCTTTTACCCAAGTGGTGTCATCTCGACTGTTTTCAATCAGTTCTCTACCTGACCGCTTCAGGACCTGAACAGTTCCTGTTCGCTTTCCTAGCTCCTTCTGGAAAACCTAGAAAAGAGGATAGGAGAAATAGTTTGTCTTGCAAATATCTTGTTTCAGTCCAAGCAGCAGAGCTGCAGAGAAAAGTAGTCATTTCCTTGGCAGGTTCTAATCGTGTGTCTTTTTTATCCACAGAGGCAGGCAGAATGATGTGTAAGAAAGCATCAGCTCAACGTCAGTTCAAGGATTTATTATGAGTTGCATGATTTTTGGATAACATGTTTTAACTTGAGTCTTAGTTTCCTTACCTGTAAAATGGGAACAATTATACTAACATTTCTAAAATTATGGGATATACATATACATATGAACATATCTCCAGTTTACAGAATAAGAATCTGATAGCAGGAAGTAGGAGTATCTTTTTTCGAATGGGAAGTGGAACGAGAGATGGAGGGAGTGGAGAAGGAGGGAATAGAAAAAGGAAGGAGAATTGAAGGGAAAAATGGAAATAGAACTTTTGCAAATGGGAAGGGGAGTAAAACAGGGAACAGGGAGGGATGGGAATGGAAGAAGATGAAAAAGAATTAAGATGCACTATGTCCATGTACAAACTCCCCACAATAAATGTACTGCAAACATGCATTAATAAAAAATTGAAACATGACATAAAAAGAATCTGATACAATTTCAAGATAAAGTTTGCGC